GGGTTAAGAAGCAGGGATAGCCCTCTTTTGTCTCTGCGGCCCTCTTTGCCATTGTTGTGGTGGAATTGAGCTCAGTGCACCTCACTTGACCACAGCAAAGCAATAAAATGGCCTCTAAGTGCTGTAGCCTCCATAGTCTTCAGATGTCAGCTTTCTTTCAGCTTCTGCATATAGTTTCCTTTTTTCCTCGGTGTTCACTGTACCGTGTATGCATACCTTCTGTGTATTATATTTTTACTAATGCATTTAACATAACATGCTGATGCATTTTATTACTCCTACATGACTATATTTTTTTTAACTGCATAGTGAGAAGAACTTTAGCTCTTTGTGTGTGTTTTTTGTTGGAAGGTGCACGTAAATCAGAAACGAAATTCTTTAATTTTTTTAGTTGGTGCTTTGATTGGTTGGATTATATAAAGGAAAATAGCTGTGATGGTCCTTTCCTGAAAACAATATCAATATATATGTTTTCTTTATTAGCTTTCAGTGAATATAAAGCAGCATGGAGCTTTATAGTATGATGAATTTTTATGGAATTGTGCTTTTTTTTTTTTTTAAATACATACAATCTGATCACCACCTAAGTCATTATCAAATGAAATGAATAAATTAAAGCACCAGCTGAATAAATGACAGCAGACTTGGATCCTTCAGTTTTTAAGCTATACACTGTATTTTATTATTTTATATTTTCAGTTCTAAAACAAGTAATAATGAAACAAATGCAGGTCATGATATACATATTTCATTTGAGAATGTATTATTATAATGTGGTGTTACCGTGTTCGAATGCACAGATGATTGTTTATAGCAAAGTCCCACCTTGGCAGACGCTGTAATTAAAAAGAAGATATACTGCATGTGCGTCTGTCGCCGTCTCACCTCGTCAAATAAGCATCTACCTCTTGCAGTGAGCATGTCCATGGATTTATGAAAGATTTCTGATTGGCTCAATTATAATTGCCACTGTCCCGAGTTAAAACCATTTATGGCAGGTGTCACACACACAGGCAACGTTATATGTGACACCAACCTGCAATTAAACTAGCAGTTCTTCAAAACCACGATATTACTGCAAGCCTCTACGTTATTCTGAATGGTGTCTCTGTCTTGTGTGCCTTTGCCTCTCCCGTCTCCTCTCTTTGCTTTCCTCCTCCGAAGACACATGTGGGTTTCACTCTGGGTCTCACTGTACCAAAAACAAATGCTGTTTCTCATTTTCCCTGTGTTAAATGAACAAACATAAGGACTTCAGTGCCTCATAATAAATTGATTAGAGAGTGCAGACTCCCACACAGCAACACCGAAAACTGAAGATGTACAGTGTAACTCTGCGTGTGTGTGTGTGTGTGTGTGTGTGTGTGTGTGTGTGTGTGTGTGTGTGTGTGGCCAGCAGAGGAGAAGGCATACTCTCGTTTCCTCCCTAAGCAACTATAAATGTATATTTATCCAGTTTCATGGCATTTGTTGTCTCGTATATACCTTATACTTCCACATATGTTCTCAGCGCTGTTTTGCACCCAGTAGCTGAGGTCTCGTTATGACAGCGCCGTGGCGTTTATGTATTTGATGCGTAAATCTGGTAGACTGTTTGGCTTTCATTCTGATGTTTGGTGTCACAGACCTGAGATCTGGCCTAAGCTGGAGGGGGTGGGGTAAGTCCCATGGGGCTGAGACAAGGCTATAGGGCCGTAACAGACCGGTGACCTCGGCTTTGTGACGTCATTCGCCTCGTCTGGTCACCATGGAATTCATTTTCCCTACTGTTTAATGAATGAAGATGGGGGCCCCGGCTAGTTTATGGAGCTATTAGTTTTTCTGCTGAATATGAAGACCAATGTAAGAATAAGACAGCATAATGGCAATTTATAATAATGACTTTAGGTTAAAACATCCCTTTTATAACTTCTTCACGTCTGTTAGACTTTGGTTTCATTTTAATTAAAGTTTTCTTTTCCTCTTTTATTGAACTTGTGACTTTTCAGTTTTACTCAGGTGGCAACACGTTGCAAGCATTGTTGTACAAAAGAGTAAAAAAAACACACACCCTGACCACATATAGGAAGTCAGGCTGAGGTAAGAGCTAGACTCAAAACGGATACTGACTGTTACAACAGTTTTTCTCCTCTTTACATGCTTGTGCCAATTCTTTGACAATAAAGATTCTACTTTCTCCCTTTCATGCTACTGTTTTCTCCTTCCTCTGTGGAGCCTTAAAATGTCTTTTCCCCTATAACAACTCTATATCATGCAAATTTGGCTGAGATTTTAAAAAGGCTTCATTTGTGTAATTTGGGCTGTATGTCTTATGTAAATCCAGTGCTGTCCCTGCAAATCAGACGAGGTATCTGTACGAGGACGAGGAAGGCTGTAAAAAAGGCTCCTCTTACTGCCTGCTTTTGTTAGAGCCAGGTGTTTCCTCATGTCGGATCATGCCCTGATGGGGAACAACAGGCCACATGGTAGGTGAGAACCAAGTGTTTAATGCTAGCGGATAGCTTTTCTTTCTGTGGTCTTCCTGTGCCACAAGCAATGCGCAGAAAAACTCTTGCAAACAAGCAGAGTCGACTGGTAAAACCGCTCTCTGTGCTGAGGATTAACACAGGAAGTAGCCCTTGTATGGCGTAGGAGCTGTGTGGATGAACTCTTTCCCTCCCAGCAGCACCAGGAGCAGGACAAGTGTGTAGATGACACAGCTTTTGTTTACACTGGAGAGAATATGGGTTTGGAGGAAGGAGAGAAGAGAGAGAGGCGGTGGTCAGGGCAGGGGGAGGGCAGACACCAGTCTCATCACTTCCTTCCTTTCTGTAGTTTTTCATATATTTTTTTTTTTGACATTTTTCACAAGTTGCCATTGTCAGAACAACAGCAGACAGAAGAGGAAGTGTATAACTGAAGCACATGTCCTGTTAAAACATTTTGCATGAAACATAATCATGGAACATAAATGCGTGAAAAGTTTTTTTTAATGTTTTCAGGCTCTGTCTTTGATCGGTCAGCTTGATCTCTCCTGCTACATCTACCTTTTTTTCTCTACTAGACCAGGAACATTAAACAAGGCTGTAAGTTTTGACCCTGATCAAGACCAAACACTTGTTTCCTATGGGTTTTGTTTTTTTTTAACAACTGCGCAATCATATGTGCAGATGTTCATGGCTGTTTAATTGTACATGGAATATATATGAGTTCTTTCCTGCCTTGTTATAACAAAACAGCAGACTGACACCTGCACTCTGTGTCTCGTTGAGCCCTGTGGTCAGGGTAAAATGTACTTTCACATGACAGATGGGTATGTGGGGCCTTCAACAGGAAGCCTGGCTTCAGTGTTTCACAATCTCGCCAGAAACAAGAACTGAGTACCCGCACTATGGTGAGCCGTCCGCCTTTTTTGTAATGGATGCCAGCTTGCCTGTAGTGGGTACAAGCACGGGGTGGAGGGAGGGGTACCCCAACATAAGTGGACCCCTGAGACCTCCTGGAGGGTAGAGGTGTGGCGAACGTCTGTTTTGGGCATGGCTTGTGTCAGCGTGTTTAGCGTTTGCCTGTGAGGGCATTTATATGCAAATGCTAAACAACCTATTGGGGTAGCTAATTACAGCAGGGCCTTTGTGTGTGCCTGGCAGTGAGAAGCAGGGAGTTTCTAGCACGCCAAGCCTGGACTTCCCCTGCTTGTTTACTCATTGTCTTTCCTTATTACCCCCTCATTGACACTCCCCTTTTGTGTGCCTGTGCCGTTTGCCTGCTTGCTGGCTCCTCCCCTTGTGGTGCTGGAGTTAATGTAGCAGATTAAAGAGGCAGCACTCTGGCCCTGTTTATTTCCTCTTTCATCTGGTGGCCCAGCTCTTCTTTACTCTGTAGCCATCCCTCCCATAGCTTTTGTTTAGCCACCACCCATTCAGAAAGGATTCAACCACATAAAACTCTCGCTCTCCTACAACTAATGCTCAGCTAATTACGTTGCGTGATAAAAATGCATTTAGGTCAGGTTTTAATGCAATGCAAATTTATGAGCAGGCAGAAGCAAATATTAACTTGTAGAGCCACTGATAGTCATTGGTTGGGGACAAAGGTACACCTCCCTTAACTGCCAAATATGAAGGTTTTTTGTGTGGTTTCACTGTCACTGCTGCTTTTTTTTCTCTTCTTTTTTTCTTTGTTGTCAGGGACTTTAGAGCAGCAGGATGCACTACAGATTTTCCAAATACGGAGTCTCCTCCTAGGCACCTGTGCAAAGATGTGCTTGCTAATAAAATCACAATGCTCCAAAGAATAATCAAGGGTAGCCCTGTTTGTATTACTGTATACAACTCGAGTTTCAAACGTGAATAAAACAGACTTCTGAGTCATTTGTTGCTATTTGTAGTAATGAGAGTACAACAAGTCCTTGATTTTAAAGGTAAATGCTGTGTAATTCACAATTAAAGAAAAAAAATGCTAGACTCGAGCTAATTCTCGCCAATTCATAAAAGTGTTGTGTGTGTGTGAGGACACACTTTAGGATCACTTGGTGTTTGTGACTTCACGGGATCATCATGTGCTCGTGTGATTTAAGTTTTGAAAAGACAGGCTTTATTTCCCCTGTTTTGTAGGTCCAGACACCTGGATTTTCTGCAGTCATGATACTTTTATTTGTTTCAGAATATGATATGGGTTATTGTTTCTTTTGAAATAAAAATGTGTGCATTAGAATATCTTACTCACTTTTCTCCATACAGCATGCAGCTACATCAGACTGGCCTTGCTGCATTCTTGTGAAAATGTTTTGTGCTAAAACAAAGAGAGAGGAAGAGAGTAAAAGACCTGGTTTAGAGCTGTGTCTCACTTCATTTTACTACCCAAGTTTCACTGTTTGTTCCACAGTTTGCCACCACCTGCACCCCTTACTACACTTATAGCAACTCCCACTTTCATTTGCTTACATACACTTACCCTCACACACATATATGTAATGATAAATACTTTGGGGGGGGG